GCGGTGATTGATTGTGAGCTACAGTTAGTGAGGGTCTGCACCCCAAGTGGGGGAGAGTTAGTGATTCAGGGCAAGAGGCCACAACACAGACCGATTCTTTGCTCAGTAGCAAGAGCGAGGCGCTACATTCAGTAGGGTTACGCAGGGTTCGTCGCCTACGTTCTAGATGCTTGGGAGAAGGGCAAGGATACAATCGACGAGGTACCGATGGTGCGAGACTACCCGGACGTATTCCCGAAGGATTTGCCTGGGATACCTCTGGAGAGACAAGTTGAGTTAAGGATCGACCTAGTCCCTGGTGCGGCTCCGATAGCCAAGGCACCGTATCGGTTGGCTCCTCCAGATATGTAGGACTTGTCTACGCAGCTACAGGAGCTGCTAGACAAGGGTTTCATTAGACTGAATAGGTCACCATGGGGAGCCTCGATCTTGTTTATGAAGAAGAAGGATGGGCCGCACTGTATGTGCATAGATTACCGGGAGTTGAACAAGGTAACGATGAAGAACCGTTACCCACTCCCAAGGATAGACGACTTGTTCGATCAGCTTCAGGGAGCATCTTGGTTTTCCAAGATTGATCTGCGCTCCGATTATCATCAGATGCGGGTCAGGGGTGAGGACATTCAGAAGACAACTTTTAGGACCCGTTATGGTCATTATGAGTTTGTGGTGACGCCGTTTGGGCTCACCAATGCTCCAGCCGCGTTCATGGATCTCATGAACCGCGTATGCAGGCCGATGTTGGATCGGTCTGCGATAGTATTCATTGATGACATCTTGGTTTACTCCAAGACTCAGGAGCACGTGAGAGAGGTGCTAAAGACGTTGAGGAGGGAGAGACTTTTTGCGAAGTTCTCCTAGTGCGAGTTCTGGTTACGCGAGGTGCAGTTCCTTGGTTACCTCGTCAACCAGAAGGGTATTCTAGTAGATCCGGCCAAGATCGAGGCCGTGATGCAGTGGGAGGTCCCGAGGTCTCCATCAGAGATTCAGAGGTCACTCACCCGACTGACTAGGAAGTCGGTGGTGTTTCGCTGGGGGCTTGAGCAACAGACAACATTTGAGACCCTCAGACAACGATTGTGCGAGGCACCGATTCTCACCCTTCCAGAGGGAGTGGATGACTTTGTAGTCTATTGTGATGCTTCGATCACAAGGATGGGAGCAGTGTTGATGCAATGAGGGCATGTGATAGCTTATGCCTCTAGACAGTTGAAGCCTCACGAGGCTAACTATCCGACGCACGATTTAGAGCTGGCGGCAGTGGTGTTTGCCCTCAAGATTTGGAGACATTACCTTTATGGTGTCCGCTGTACCATTTACATGGATCACAAGAGTCTGAGGTACCTCATGGACCAACCGAATTTGAACATAAGGCAGCGTCGATGGTTAGATGTGGTAAAGGACTACGATTGTGAGATCCTTTATCATTTGGGAAAGGACAACATTGTGGTCGACGCCCTGAGCTGCAAGGCAGTGGTGGCACCGATTAGAGATATATGTCTGAGGATGACGGTGATTACTCCATTGTTGGATCAAATTAGAGAGGCTCAGATCAAGGTCCTGAAGGAGGAAAGGCAGAAATGTGAGAGGATTGTGGGCCGAGTAGCTTCTTTCGACTATGACAGTCCGATTATGACAATCGAGGATTGTTGACCCTTCATGGGAGAGTCTGGGTGTCGTATTGGGGAGGAGTACGACATGTGTTGATGGACGAGGACCATAAGTCTCGGTTCTCCATCCATCCAAGGGCAACGAAGATGTATAGAGATCTTTGACCCGATTATTGGTGGCCCTGCATGACGCGGGACGTGGCTTGGTACGTAGATAGCTGAATGACCTATAGGAAGGTCAAGGAGGAGCACCAGAGACCCCATGGCAAGATGCAACCGTTAGACATTCCTGTGTGGAAATGGGAGGATATCACCATGTATTTCATCACTAAGCTTCCCAGGACCGCACGAGGAGTTGATTCGATTTGGGTTATAGTGGATTGGCTTACCAAGAGCACGCATTTCATACCGATCCAGGAGAGTATATCGACCGAGAAGCTTGCCGATATTTACGTGCGCGAGGTAGTAGCACGACATGGAGTGAATGTATCAGTGGAATCAGATAGAAACGTCCGGTTTACTTCCAGGTTCTAGAAGCGGTTTCATGATGAGATGGGGACTCGTCTTCATTTTAGCACCGCTTTCCACCCTCAGACGGACAAGCATAGCGAGAGGACGATTCAAACTCTCGAGGAGATGCTTTGGGCATGTGTCCTAGACTTTGGTGGTAGTTGGGATACGTATCTTCCACTACCGTCCTCCTTTCGAGATGCTCTACGGGAGGAAGTGTAGGACCCCGATTTGTTGGCGCGAGGTCGGTCAGCGAGTCATCGGGAGCACCGAGGTGGTGCCCAAGACCACAGAGTTGATCCAACAGGTTCGTAGCATACTGCAGACTGCGCAGAGTCGACAAAAGAGTTACGCCGACAGGAGGCATTCAGACTTGGAGTTTCAGGTGGGCGATATGGTCCTCCTGAAGGTGTCACCTTGGAAGGGTGTTATCAGGTTTCGGAAGAGGGGCAAGCTGGGCCCCAAGTTCATTGGTCCTTTTAGGATTTTAGCCCGGGTGGGTCGGGTTGCTTATCGGTTGGATCTTCCGGCAGAGCTTAGCCAGATCCACAACACTTTCCATGTTTCACAGCTGAGGAAGTGTTTAGTGGACGAGTCAGCAGTTGTACCCTTAGAGGATATTCAGGTTGATAGCAACCTGAATTATATCGAGAGACCAGTTGCGATCTTAGATCGAAATACGAAGACCTTGAGGAACAAGGTGGTTTAGTTGGTGAAGGTGCAGTGGCAGCACCGAATGGGTTCAGAGTGGACGTGGGAAACCGAAGGGGAGATGAGAGAACATTATCCATAATTATTTTCAAATTCAGTAGCAGCAAACTTCAAGGACGAAGTCTAAGATAAGTGGGGGAGAGTTGTAACGCCCCATTTCTGGCATGTAATTTAAATAAAGTATTTTTCATTTCTTAAGGGGTACTCGACGAGTCTGTAGCCTGACTCGTCGAGTTGAGACGGGATAACCGCGCAAATGGAGTTGGCTACTCGATGAGTCCATATGATGGGACTCGACGAATCCGCCTGTCTGAATGAAGCCCTAATTTCAAGGGTTTGTACCCTATTTAAATGTCATTATAGCCTCCCACCCCAGCCTCCAACACCTTTAGAGCATTTCCCCTATAAACCCTAGCCCCATTGTTGAGTTTGAGTGAGATTGTGTTAGCTTGGAAGCTTTGGAAGAGAAGGAAGGAGAGAAGGTCCATAGAAGAGAAAGGAGATCCAGGAGTTAGCTTCCATCTGCTTCTCATTCAGCTGGACAGTTCCGAAGTAGCAACCAGCCAACGTTAGAGTTAGCATCTTAGCTGCCAGCATTACGAGGTGAGTTTTCCTTCCAGTAGGAATGGGTCTACGGCCACAATGTCGCCCCGTCTACTTAGCAGTAGTTTCCGGACTTCGGTCTGATGCAGTAGTTCAGTGTGCTTGATGTCTTTGTGATTCAAGCATGTTTTTGTGGTATGTGTTCCGGACTTCGGGCCGATGCAGTATGCAGTATATGTGTTTATGCTAGTAGTCATGATTATGCTATGCCATGTTCAGCCAGTTAGTCCGGACTACAGTCCGATGCAGGGGGCAAGGCCCCGGTTAGTCCGGACTTTGGTCTGATGCAGTTAGTCGAACTTCTATCCGATGTAGGGGGCAAGACCCCAGTTAGTCCGGATTTCGGTCCAATGCAGTGGGCAAGGCCCAGTATGTGCTTTATATGTTATTGTATGGTATGTGGTAGTTTGGGGGAGCTCACTAAGCTTCGTGCTTACAGTTTCAGTTTTGGTTTCAGGTACTTCCGCAAGAAAAGGGAAGAGCTCGGGATGATGGCATCGCACACACCACAACTTCAATTTATCCCGGGAGTTTATTTTGGATGTTACTATGATTAATACAGATTTGTTTGACACAGTACTATGACATTTGAGTTGTTCATTCCGTGGTTTTATTATATATGATGTAATTTTTAGTATTATTAAAACAAAAATTTTTGGATCGTATTTTTGGTCGTTTCAGACGCGGAGATAGAGATACCAGAAAGTCTACGAGTAAGTAAGTGCAAGCTTGGATTACGTTCTGAACTCAAGCAAGAAGAAACTATAAAGTCAAGACTATAAAGCGGTGGCGAAGCAAATGAAGGTCTAAAAGTCAAAAGATAACACTATGTAAAGAATACACGACCACAATATGTCATATAATATGTCAACTAAGTATTAAATATGGCAACTAAGCAACCAATTACTACAAAGTGTAACTTAAACAAAACATATATTTGAATGGTGTTATGCATTAATATATACAAAGGTCTTACTTCACAGATATTTTATTGTATTGGCCAAACTTGAATGATGTTTTTTTGAATAAATTTGAAACTTAGTTACATTCATAAGATCTTCTCCCGATTTGTGTAATAATAATTCAATCGGTCGGTTAACATAAGGTGTAATTTGAACAAAATGTATACCTTAATGATATTTTTTAGGGAAATCTTTGATAAAGTACGGTTTATTTATAATATTTATTTTTTTAAAAGAAGAGTCCCGAATATCTGACTTTATATGATAATTTGTCATTTTATATTGAACAAAAACAAGTATTGTTTCATTAATTTTAACAAAATATAATATAATCAGAGCTTTTCTGTTCGGAAAAGAAAAAAGGATTAAATCTTAAATTGCTCAAAATATTGGAACTTTAATGAAGATTTCTTTATTTGTTAAACAAAAACCTTATTAAAATTTTTATACAATGATATTTTTTAAACAATTGTAAAATTTAATTACTATAGCTCATTTTCCTGATAAATAATTATAAAACTTAATTTTCAATCACAAAATTCCCTGTGTTTAATTTCCTCCATCGTACTGAAACCTAAACCTCTTCTTTCACACCATCAAAAGGATGAGAGACGACTTTTTGGGCGACACTTCAAAGTCTTTACGCATCTCCGAAACTTCCATGAAGCTTCATGGAAACTTTCCGATCTCCATCAATGCATACATTCTCCTTCTACTTCCTTTACTCTCTTTTACTTTTCAATACCAGTGTTGTTCGAATCCGGATTCCGATAAAAAAAAAATTCAAAAAATTACCTTCACAATCATCATATATTATAATATTCAAAAGTAATCAGAAACGGTTACACATTTGTAGTTCGTACTGGAAGTAGTTTGGAAGGTACCTTTCACTATTTACGCGGTTTTCTAGTTTAATCTGTATAAAATGATGATGAGAATCTGGTCGATGAATTATTCTGTATAAGATATGATTCAAGCAATCTCTCCATCATCGATGCTTTTTAAAAAATTGGGAATATACTAAAGTTAGTTGATTAGATACAACAAGCACACACCATCCCACATCCTACACACACTCATGTACACGTAGCTCTTCCGTTGTAGTTGACGATTTGTGTATATAATATTGATCAATTGGAAGCTTCAAAGTAGTTTCCTCAACTATATACATAGATTCATCTATATATAAGTTTGATAATTGGGCGGTTGATAGTTATCTGGTTTTGATTTTGATCCTAAAATTGTTTAATTTTGAGTCGTTAATTCGGTGTTTGATGGTAGTCAAGCGATCTTTTGGTGTGGGGGAAGAAGAGGGCTTCACTGTTGCTAATCACGAAGCCAAACGAAGGATCACATCATCAAAGTGAGTGATTACTGATACAATCGTTATGATTCTCTAAATTTTTAGACTGTTTTAACTCGATCTCACTTTTGATATTCGATTTGTTTCCAGCCTTGCTCAAAATCTGATATGCGGGTTTTCATCACAAGAGTTATCCTTGATTTTAGAACCATTAGTTCGAAGATGTGTGAGAGAAGAAGTTCAGCGTTCATGTCAAAGCTTCTTTTGTACACTACCGAGGTTAGATTTCATTTTCCATTTCATTAACTTGGCATTTGTGTATGCCTTTTTGTAGTAAGGATTTCTAAATTCAAATTATTTTGTTCTTCAGATCTCCTCTAGATGCAATCGAACCAAGTAGGAAGACATCATTGCAGCTTCGTTTTCTAGGGAATCTGTCTAATACATTCTTCACTGGAAGCAGGATAGAATCTGATGACAATACCCCTCTCAAATTAGTATTGTTTGATGTGAATGCCAATAAAATTGTATCATCTGGACCCTTATCTTCATTAAAGATAGAAATAGTTCCTCTTGATGGTGATTTTGTTACTGATGAAGAACAAGATTGGTCTGAGAAAGATTTCGATTCCAAAATCATATGTGCAAGAGATGGAAGAAGGCCATTGATAGCTGGAAATTTGGTAGTGACACTCGAAAATGGAGTAAAGGAAATCAATGAATTATGTTTCACTGATAATTCAAGCTGGAGGAGGAGTAGAAAGTTCATAATTGGTGCAAGAGCCAAAGATGCTTCTGGAAGAGTGAGAGTTAGAGAAGCAAGAAGTCAAGCTTTCATGGTTAAAGATCATCGTGGAGAATGTAAGACCCTTTTTCTTCAACTGTTTTCTGTATTAAATCAAAAAAGGAACACCTTATTTATTGCATAATTATATGACTGATGATTGTTTTCTTGATTTCAGCATACAAAAAACACCACCCACCATCATTAGGTGATGAAATCTGGAGATTAGAAAAGATAGCAAAAGATGGAGTTTTTCATAAAAGATTGGCTTCACATCGCATATGCACTGTAAAAGACTTTCTACAAATGTATATCACCAACCAATCCTTACTACGCAAGGTAAATTATAAATAGTCTCCAAATACAAGAAATAGCAACTTACATTTATTTATTTGTTTATCAATGAAAGTACATTTGCTTATCTTTTTTCTTTTTTGTATATTGTAGTTACTTGGTGGATCTTCTAACAAGACATGGGAGACAATAATCAAGCATGCAAAAGCTTGTGTTTTAGATGAAAAGTTATACATGTATAGATGTGGCCCACAAGGAATCGGGCTTTTGGTTGATTCTATTTTGGAGGTTGTTGGTGCCACTTTTGATGGACAAAACTATCTTCCAATCGATAAACTCCCCGTGTTTCAAATGGTACGTATAACATCCTACTTTTATTTATCTGTATTTCTTTCTGTAAAAAGGTTATTCTTCCAACAGCCTGACAACTGGCCCAAATTTTGAATATAGTAATAATAATAATAATAATAAAAATTATATTTTTTCGTGTATGGTTTGCAGCCTATGGTGGAATCTTTAAAGCAAGAAGTTTATCAAAACTTGAATGGGATGATACCGATGGATGATTTATCCGTTATTGGAGTCCCGGTTCCGATGGCGAATTTACATAATTACCCCTTGAAAAGTGAAAGTTTGGCTCTCCCATGTGTTGACATTCCTCTTCTACACCAAGGTGTGCCATTTTCCACACCTTTTTTTTTATGTAATATAAAACAATAAGCTATATGAAAAGTCATTTTAATTGTAAATAAATCATGACTCATTTCATTACCTTTGTTTGATGCAGATGAAGTTGAAATGCACATGAATGGGGTGGTTGGTAGCACTAGTAGTGAAGAGGAATATTTTTCTCCAAATTTAAGAAACAGTTTCAAAACAAAAGAGTTCATCAATGGAGGTTATGGTGATGATTTTAATTTTCAGTCATTATGGCAAGCAGATGAACTCTACATTGATCCAAATAATCAAAGTATAGATATTGGAATACGTTTTTCAAGAAATGGGTCACCACGGGCATGTTGGTGCAAGATTCGGGCTGCCCTAAAATGGGGTTCAGTCAGGCGAGATGTGGCTGCCAAAAAAATGGCGCTTGCCTTCGTATCTTGATTTCTCGGTTTAGATTTTTTAGGTTAATAGGTAGAAAAATTGGTTGTAATAATAATAACACTGTTTTCCTGTATCAGCTGGTAAGGAGGTAAGAATCCATAAGTGAGATTTCAGTTCAAACCTAACCTAAGCATCACATCGATGCATTTGGGATACTGTGAATTACCTTCCCCATGCTGCCAGTGGGACCAGATGTCACTTTTTTCATTTTTTGGTGGCAGGATTTGTGTCTTTGCGATCGCCACTATTTGATCTTGTTTTGCATTGTGTATAATGCTTGGTTTGTGTATATATTTTGGACCTTAATGTTAAAGTTGTGTTATGTTTGTGTTAATAAAGATTCGAAAGAAATTGAATTTAATTAAGTGTTTTTGAAGCATGATTTGTCGTATTTACCATGGGTTAGTTTTTGTCATTTATTAAATTTTAAAAAAAAAAAAATGTTAAAAAGTGCAAATTAGATCTCCTAAGGTGGAGTACCTCAGAATAAGGATGAAAGCACAAATATGAGTTTATGGGGATTTCGAAGTACGATATTAACCATTCCCCACTTTAAAAAACGGGATTAACAACTTTAGAGAGATGGATTCAGATTAAACACTACACAAAGAGTATTGGATAGCAATATCATACTACAGTTTATCAAAAGCAAGTCTCATATATTTTTTTTGAACAACAAAATCATGTCTCATATAAGGTATAATTAGATGCAGGTGAGTGAGTAAATATGGGTTTAGATATTCCGAGTTTATTTCCAAGACTCTTGGGTTCCTTTCGAGTTACCTCGCATACATAGTCTTCTTAGATGGGAGTTATTGGTGAGTCATGAGTGGTTGATGGTGGTTGGAGAATTGAAGTGGTGATGATGAAGAGTTCGTTGGTTTTGAAGTGGAGTTGCAAGTGAATGTTTTAAGTGACATGGATGTCATGTCAAATACTACACATGGACGTTTACAAAGACAAAAGGATATAACGAACTATATTATAAAAAACCTTCCCCTTCACACCCCTCATGTCGTTACTTTCATATAATTCATTCTAGTCTTAATCCACCATTTTATTTTGAAATATAATAAAAAAGTAATAAAAAAATAAAGATTCAAGGAGAGGGCTCGTAACATTACAAAAGATCACAAAGAATGTTATTAATCATCACTCATTTAATAATTTCCACAACTTAATTATCTTTTGTATTTTATGGTATTACTTTTTATCCCCTCTACCTAATAACAATTTCATTTTATCTCCCTTGATAATAATAATAACAAAATTTATGTTATCATTCTTGAAATAATTCCAAATGTGATTTGCTAACTGAACTTGAACACATATTTAATCGCCCTTAAAAATAGACATTAACTTCAAATTTTAGCCCAAATAATAGAACTTGTCCTCAATTGTTTGTACTTTAAAATATTAATAGAATATTATTGACCAATTATCAACTAGATGGGAATCATGCACGCCCGTTGGCGCTGAGTCATTTTATTTTTTCTTCTTTCAGGTTTGGATGTTGGTCCATCCTACTACAAGGGATGTTTATATCAGTTACACTATTTCTTGTTTTTTTCACCCCTGCAACAAACAAAGATAATAAATGAAGGGGTTTTTGGTCCGAAAATTAATTTACTGTTTAAGAAAAAAAGACCATTAAATAAGATAAAAACAAAATAAGGATACAACCAAAAGTTAGTCCTTGGGCTAACTCAAAATCATCTTCCATATTTATCAAGTATCCACACCGTATCCAAGACAATCAACAAATTATGTAATTTAAAATTATATTTAGCGCTCATAATCTTAATGTTTCATAGCGTATGAATATTCCGTTTTTCTAAAAAAAAATTATAATCAATCTGAAATAGATAATGTAACTTGTAAAATTACGTTCCAAAATCATTATCTTGATCGAAGTCTAGCATGAAATCAGTCAACTCTTTTTTTTTCTTATTCATATTTTATTCGGCAAGAGATAAGCATTTCAATACTGATGGGGGGAGGAGGGGTAAAATGGTCCAAAATCATTAAAACGAATTAGTGATTGTTATAATCATACAAAAAGATTATATGTAATTTGATTTTACGAATTCTGACTGGTTTCAAGTCATGATGAAATATAGAATAAAAGATATATACAACGACTATACATCTTGATACAAATGATCAATCATTGTTATACCACATTGTATTGTAAATAAAGGTAAAAGATTTAACTATTTAAGCATTGTACTTTCAACTATAGCATCATTATTTAAAAAAAAACGTAGTTTTTTTTTCTTATTCATATTTTATTCGGCAAGAGATAAGCATTTCAATACTGATGGGGGGAGGAGGGGTAAAATGGTCCAAAATCATTAAAACGAATTAGTGATTGTTATAATCATACAAAAAGATTATATGTAATTTGATTTTACGAATTCTGACTGGTTTCAAGTCATGATGAAATATAGAATAAAAGATATATACAACGACTATACATCTTGATACAAATGATCAATCATTGTTATACCACATTGTATTGTAAATAAAGGTAAAAGATTTAACTATTTAAGCATTGTACTTTCAAATATAGCATCATTATTTCAAAAAAAAAATACGTTTTTTTTTTCTTATTCATATTTTATTTAGCAACAGATAAGCATTTCAATACAATTGGGGGGAGGAGAGGTAAAATGGTCCAAAATCATAAACGATGCAGGATGGGTAAAAAGGTCCAAAATCATTAAAAAAAAATTAGGAATATGTTACAATAATAAAAATATATTTTTTTTTTTATTGTAAATAAGAATTAAAAATTAAATAATGGTGCTATATTTTAAAGTATAATGATTAATTAAGAAAAAGAACATAATTTATTTTTATTTTTTTAAAATAAGCACAATGCTATTAAGCCCTTTATTGGGTTAAAAATATGACATTCCTATTATATGTATAAATTCTACGCGGGTTAGAATTTGAGAGCTCATGTTGAACACAACTTCTTGATCATAAAAGAATGTTGTAGATGCAAGTTGCTCCGTATTTAGTCATAAGTACATAATCCCTTTATTACCAACAATATCCATTAAAAATACAATACAATTGGGGATAGTACGGGTAAAATGGTCCAAAATGAACTGGGATTTGTGAAAACTGAAGTTTCCTTCAATAATGATCCATTCCATTCTGTTCCATCGAACAATGAAATAACCGATCCCATTCCTTTCCTACTTACCTGTTCTATTGTTTCCGGTTTCTGAGAACATAACATTCCGATCTGCTAAGTAGACAAAATAGAATGAGTGAAAATTCCGCCATCCATGGAAGCAAGTTCCTTTCTCAAGTTATCAAGCTCTGATTCAAATCCAGATTCTCTTCCACATTTGGAGGAATTAGCAATTCCAATGCCACTACTCCTCTATCCACTACTAACCTCAAGCATAATACTCTTCTTCCCTGTTTAAGAAATCTCAATCATTTATAAATTTATAATGCTTATTAATAAAAGTGACTTCTTACACTTACCATGCAAAACATGCTTAGCAAGTGGTCCAATTGCCACGTAAGCATTAGTGTATGCGAAAATTCTTCTTTCTGCATCAAAAATAAAATTTACTCTTTGAAAAAGTTATCAAATTTATTCAATCCTGTTACCATTTATCAATCAATCAAGAATATTTTAATTTTGATTGATTTTCATGTGTTTAATTAGATTCATCAAGGAATGACATATTCCATTCCATTAGACAAAACAAACAACTTTTTTCATTTATTGGAATTAACCATTCCATTCCTTTTCCAATTCCATCATATCAAACACCACCATAATTTATTTTTACTATAAAATTAGTTCAGGAATTTAATCCCAAAAATTAATTAAAAAGGTTACTTTATTTTCAGTGCCATGAGAAGGATCATATTCATGTTTAGATGGCGCCTCATTCTTTTCAGCATGCTATAATAAGATAGGGAAAACTAAAAATAAAAATAAATAAATAAAAACAGCTTAATAGTACACATACAAATGATAAAAGTTTTTATGGATTAGAGTGAAGTATTGTTTTTTGTAATTATATAGTCCCAAATTTATTTTTTTAGTTAGTTCAATACATATCAAGAATATTGTGAATCTGAAAAGAAAAAAAATGAAGTTTTACAAGCATAGTAAGACCCATTATCTTCCTTTGAAACTCTTCTCAAATCATACCTTATTCCTGCAAAATAAGAATTTTAAAAAAAAAAACAGTTATACATACTTTTTACGAAATATACATGTTTGAGGCTATGACCTTAAACATTAATTGCCAATGTACACCATTATGCACTTGCTTCTGTGTAAAAACTATCTTATTTTCATTAAAGAAAGAAAAATAAAATGACCAATTAGACCATCAAGATTATAATTGTCCATATGCCACTCATTTACTCTTAGCATGGAGTTTAAACAATAAAATCTTTCTCTCCATCAAAAGTGCATTGGGACAAATAGAGTCAAACATCATCATCCATCATCTGGAAATTGAAAAGAGCAAAAACAACCCATATAACTTGGTTGTAAGATTATAAATTTCCATTACTACCCTTATTCAAAGGTATATGTAGAATACCTCCACCTGAATCCAACTTGAATATGTCCATTGAGGTTGGATAAACCATTTTGTTAGAGGGAATCATAAACTACCATAGGATTTTATTATAAGAACCGCATACACAACAATTTCTTATTTTTGTGGTGATTTCGGAATTAAACTTGCCAAATGAAAGCTCTAAACCCATGGGCCCTTCCATATAAACCGGAAGTCAAATCGAACAATCTTTGTTTGTTGATCAAACACTAATTTATCCATATAAAAGTTAATAAGGGCGAAAAGGGCTAAAATGGTCATTTACTTTCATCAGGTTGTTAAGAAATAAGAAATAAGTTGGGGATGTTTCACCCATCTGCGAAATCTAACAACTTTAAAGACAAATATTTTGATTCCTTACATTGCCATTCATCGAAAATTGAAGTAGAAGCTGAATTACAGCTCCTACAAAACTTACCCAAGCAAACAAATTATTAAAAAATGTATAAAAACTAATTAATATTGATTATCATAAGTTATAGTTTGACAACACAAACCCCTCAACATTAACCACACACATATAGGAGGCTACAACATATGCCATGGACATGAAGATGACAATAGATTATCTTTTTCCTAAAATCTTATTAAGCTTAGAAAAGCATTAAGCATATGAATGTAGTAAATTTACTATGATTTTTTCTTCTTTCTATTTTTTCTCTTGTTACTCACAGAGTCCTTACTTGATTTTACTCATCAAGCCAAAAAATAGGCGTCAAATGATTTTTTCCAATAACAAATAACAATTTTAAGCTTCAGAGTAACTCTACGTACATAATCTATAACGAAGAACAACACAAAATGAGCTAGAGAGAGTAATACCTAATTCAAAGTCATGGGAAGCATATGTCACTTCCAAAACGAGACATTCCACCAATAGTACATACTTTGTAAACCTACACAATTGATCAGTTGGCTTTTTGAGTTTCAAAGTCGATAATAATTGATAGATATAGAGAAGAAGAAACCGGTTAGTGTATGAGATGAGGTTCCACCAACAGTGATTTCATCTGGGAAATCTAATCAACCTAATTTAAGATGAAAATTGTTGTTCCAATTGCCACACAACTAAAGAGGCAGGCTCTGTTTGCTGGGATTGCTGGATCAACTTTGATTACACGAGCAACTTCAACCACTGTGTACTCCGTAAAACTTGATACATGCAAGAAATGGTATAAAGTTTCTCCATTCATGTCTGTGAATCTGCTTGTTTCATCTCTACCCACCCATGGGGTACAATGGAAAGGATATTTTGAACAGAGGTTGCTTTTTTTGGACAAACAATCTGCACATTCACCACAATCTAGCAGAAACATTGTGATCACAGTGTCTCCTTCAACAACTTCATGTACGTCTTCACCGATACTCTCTACAACCCTTTAATGGAGAAAATTTTAATGAATTTATGTAATTAGGATGACAATTCAACAGATTTAACATAAACAATTTACTAATTTTGATGTCTGGGGAAAATTACAGGAGGACGCTTTAGGAGAAAACAACAATTGTTAATTAACATCAACAAAAACACTCGATTGATTTAAAGTTTGATCTCAAACAACAATCCACCTCCAATTTCCAGTAGTTGATATCGCTATGGCAAAGCGAAGTGCATATGATTTTGATTCTGAACTTGGCGAGGTTTTGGTGCAGCCACTATCACTTCCTCAATCACCAGCGGTTCCTGTGGTTTCCTAGCAATCGCAGCTGCCAAAAACACAATCCCCCATTGATTCTTCAAAGAAAAAAAAATTACGGCAGATGTTGCATTCATCCATTAGGTAATTGTTTATATCTCGGGAAAACATGCAGTTTCAAAATTTGAAACAGTTTTTTTTATCGATGTAAGTTAATGGAATTAGAGTGCTGAAGCACGAGTAGAAGAACTTACCTCGGCACCTGATAGGCTTTTCGGCAGTGTTGCTAGAGCTTTTTCTGTCCATGGTCCAGTCCCAAGGTTTGTGAGCTTCAAATCAGAACAACATATCGATTCAGCGGATGGTGGAGAAGGAGAAAAAAAGACCAATCGATGTGTATCTTCTTAGGATGCTCAGACTCTGTGGGTAGGACTCTACCGACGACCTGAAATTGATGGAAGTACACCATATACAAACACAATTAGTTTTTATCATTTCATAAAACCTTGACTTGGAAGAGAAGAGTAGACGGAGGTTGGCACAGTTATGTAGTAAATTACAGAGTTTGTACTTAGTCGGGTTCCTCTTAAAAAGCCCTAAACCCCCGTTGTTGCTGAAGCTGGTTAGCGGGACGTATAACAGTGATGTTGTAATCGATGAACGACTTGGCCAACACCGGTCTCCTTCAACGCCGACGAAAACTATACTCCTCAAAGGCAGTCCTCATGGATCGCCGCCTCACAAATCTACAGGAAGGCAATCGCAACAGACATGGAAGGCTTTCGGGATGAAATTGAGAGCAATTTGAGATAAGAAGAAAGAGGTGAAGTCGGCAACGGTGTGTCGATGGAGGTGAGAATGAAAATTAAGAGGGGAAAACAGGGCAAAAATATTGGAGTCGGTGAGGCACAAACCGGCGAAGATAAGGATGAGAAAAGGTATGGCGGTATGTGCGAACAACTTTCAGTGTCAAAATAACGAAAAACAAAACTTTCGTGTGTAAATATGAAAGAGAAAAAAAAGTTACTGTTCCTGAAGTTTTTAAGGATTAATAGTATATATAATACTGTTAAAAAAGAATATTTGTTTTTGAAAAACCCAACCCAACTTACACCGGCTTACCAACACTAATCGGCCCGGTTCTCAAGTCTTAAGAATCGGTCTTCAACCCAATTTAATACGGTTCATTTATCTTAACATGAAGACCCAATTTAATATGGTTCATTTATAAGTAAGCTTAACTACTTTGCATCCCAACTCGAAACATTAAACCTTGCTGCCCGCTTTTTTCTTCTCATGAATCATTAGCAAGATCGTTATTCCACCATCCATTCGAAAAGTTTTGTTAAAAAATACAGTTTCAAGAGGCTTCATGTTTTTACCTAGATTTTGATTGTTCAAATGTTATTTTAAATTTCGATTATGTTTGTACCTCGTATTAAAATTTATGGCTCCGAGTTTACTTATAATATTTTAGAAAAAAGAATAAGATAAGTTTAAGTATTTGACCAAAATTATAAAATTATAAGCAATCAAACCGAAAATTGATTTTAATTTTTAGATATTGAAAACCAACTAACCAACCAAGAACCAAATTAAAAAACCGCTTTTATAAATTATGGAATCAACAATCGATTTGAATAACATCACTCTAATTTGTGTATCTGGTAAATCTTAATGTTTTCTAAATAAATAATATATCTCTATTTCATGTATATACGTAACAAGATTACTCAGATTATATGATCCATATTAATAAAATGTTATTCAATTTTTCTATGCATCTTCATCTGTGTATTTGTTGTAGCGTAACCCCAACAATTCCATTACAAAAGATGTACATATTTGAACATGAATATCACCTTCACCTCTTTAAAATTATTGCAATTTACCCTCCCTATATTTAGGTGATGTTTTATTCATTAAATAAGAAATAAACATACTTATAGTCTTATACGGTTATACGTATTAACCATTTTTTTATATAGATAGAACTGAACAACAATTGATAACGTTAAAGAAAGATAGATGAATGACTTAGACATATAGAAGTGTGAGACTCGTGGGTTCCCAAGTAACATGGGATGTGTGTTTCTACATGAACTCCCCATGCTCCTCCTTAGATGTGTCTATCATTAGGTGGAGGTTACTCTATTATTGTCTTAATTTTTGTTTTCCATAAATCAATTCCTTCTTTCAACATTATATATAAATCTATAACATGTTCTCTTAAAACAAGACCATTTTTTTTTTTTTGACAATTATGATTATAGGACATCGAGTAATTTAAACATTATAAATGAAATTTTTAGTAATTTAACCATTATAAATGACATTTTTTTCTTCAAAAATGATTATTCCATACTTCCTTTGATAATCCGGATAGAACAAAAATTTATAATGTATATTTTTTTCTCATATATGTAAGTTTTTTTTAAAAACTTCTATTTACTTATGTTGAAATGTCTATTTTAGAGTGTTTAATGTCACAATTGCTCAATAAAATGTCTAATTTTAAGCTCTTAAACGTATATACTTCTTATTTTATATGTTTTCATGTTCTTAAGCTCCCTCCAAAGGTACTTTATTCAACCATCTAAAAATGGATCCTTTTGTTTTCTCTATTGATGTACATTATCTGATAATTTCTATTTTTTTTTTGTTCTCTATTGTTGTACCTAATTAGAAGGTGAAAACCTATGAGGCTAGCATTTGACTTTTGGGATTTATAAATATATATGATTTGATTTCGTTGGTTAAAGAAACAATCACCTGCTTTGTGTGGCTTTTCCTTTGTGCTTTATTTTGTAATTTTCAATGTTTAAAGTCATTGATTTTGATTTCTTTTTTTTGAAATTTGTTAGGAAATTGAATGATAAATCATTGCGGAAAGCTCAGTTCATTCGAAAAATAGATCTAGTGATGAACCTGCTTAGCCACAATCCATAGGCATTGTGTTGCGATATGGGGTGGTGCCACCACATTCAACCGCCTAATACACAATGCTCATCCACATGTTGGTAGAAGTTTCCTATCATTCTATTTACAGTATGGTCAAAAACTCGAATATGATGGTTGATAAATAGGGCATTTATGAATTACAGATTACGTATGATCATAATTCTCATAAATGATAAAACCATCTGGACTAATTGATTTTAGTTAGAACACCGAAGTCATTTGAAAGATGGTGATGAGAACAACTTATCGTTTCTCTAATATCCATTTATCTAATATCATTTCTTTACTGTGTAATGATTTGTTGTAAAACGGTAACGTTTCTATTTGATTGGTATGAAGACTGAACATATTACAAAGTCGATACTAGGTATGATCTACCCTTTCATTGCTTTCTATTAGTGAGACTTTCATTGATTCAATATTTTCACCAAACGTATAGATGGTTCTTGATATTCCCCTATAGAGGTTAGTGATAGCAAGAAGCAAGGCGTTGTTAGTAATGGTAGTTTTCCCCGGGAAAATGTGTTGGAAACAGCTTCATGTGGCGAACTAGCTTACACTATGGCGACTGTGCATGAACATAGATTGGCGGAGAACGGTCATGCCAATCTTGCCACTCGCTCACCACCGCCCTAACTGGCTTCTGGACGGGATAATAGCATCAATTATTATATCAAGAAGGTAACATTTCATGGTTTTTCTTCCATACAAACAAATAAATTCTGATTTTGAATATAAAATATTGGAATTTTCTAACTTTTGTCGATATGTAAATTCGCTACTTATGACTTTGATTCTAGAAGAAAGAGGGGTGATAAAAACATGGATGATCGGATCTGTTGTGCTTCTGAGCTTCAGTGAGGCACAAAGTTTGCTACTTCAAATATGTTTCTACTTTCATTTCTTCTCATTAAAACATTCTACTTTTCTAGATTGCTTTATTATTTATAGCATTTTACTTTAATTTTTCCTTACTACACCATTATACTTTAAACTTAATTTGGCTCGGTGGTCATAGGTTACGTTATCTGATTATCCTTCTATGTTCTCCTTTACTTATCACTTTCGCCGTCGTCGGCCGAAACCAACTCCTCCTCAAAACCCACTATCACCGCTACAGCGGCATGAGATCGATGTAGAAGACAGAAGCCAGGTAAAATCGGATTTTAGTTTGTTAGATAGCTATCTGAATGATCAATTAGAGCTTGCTATTGAGATTTTAAATAAATGTGGAGGTGATTTTAACATATGGTTATGATTATATCGATGATTTTGATGATTTCGGAAGCCATTTTCATTTCCATTTTGTAGTTTTTCAACATGATACAATTATGATTTTGATGATTATATCTTTTATTATAAGATTAGGTTGTTTTAATGAAATTAAGGAAACACCCAATTTGGGGTTCCCTAATCTAGGAAATTTTTGCTATTTTTTGTGTATAATATATGTGAAGTTAATTGATCCAAGCATGTTTTCATTGTATATTCTTCTTTTTTGTTGTGGATTGTGGCTACAGCTCGAATTTGTATTTTGTTAATCTAGGAAAATTTTGCTATTTTTTGTGTATAATATATGTGAAGTGAATTGATGCAAGCATGTTTTCATTGTATCTTCTGCTTTTTTGTTATGGATTGTGGCTATAGCACGAGTTTTTATTTTGTTTACATTATAATCGAGGTGTTAGACTTTGTGTTTTATTTTCATAAATACATCTTATATATTATCCTTATATGTATGAAGATATTTGTAGTTTATACCCTATTTATATATTTCAGTAATAAAAAATTGGGGTTTTTGGGCCTATGGATGGGGGAGACTCCGGTGGCCCAGCTAGGTCTGAGGCGACAGGAGTGGATGGTTTGGTGTTGGAGGATTGGAGTTTTTGTAGTTTATTCCCTATTTATACACTCTTTAGGCTTTTCCTTTGCTTATTCAGTTTCATTTTTTGACATTTTTAAACAGGATTGGAGCTTTGGGAACAGATGTGCGCACCAACACAAGCGTATCTTGACCTGTGAATTTGGGAGGTTCATTTAGTGCCTTCAAATTCAAATCCTACCGGGTTGATTCTATAGAGGAACTAAATTGTAAATTTTATATGGATTATATAAAATTTAGAATTTTAACTTGGGCCCTTTTAGCTTTGGTCTGTATGTGATTTTAAAGATGGATTGACTGATTCGATTATAAAAACACAAAAACTATGGTCAAAACGAAACCTTGTGGAGTGTAGACAATAGCAACATACTTTAATGATCTTAACCGAACCCCACGGAGCGGGATTTCCCAGCTAGTTTAAATAATAGTATTTTTAGGTAACACAGAGACCAAACACGTAACAAAAACAAAAAGTAAGGATCAAATGTGTAATAAAAAAACAGTAAGGGTTTTCCAAGTTAAAAAATAAGACAGGGATCAAGCATGCAAATTACCCCAAACTATAGGGACCGTTCGTGTAATTTAATCTATTTTATATGTTTCTTAACTTTTTGTTAGATTCTAGTAAAAAAAATCAAGTATTTTCTTGAAATTTCTGAACTATTTATCGGATTTTGAATTTGTTTTTTTTTAACTCCGGAATATTTTTTTTCTTTTCTCTATTAGAAATTCAACATTTCAGTTACAAAGTTATTTTTTTCTCGAAAAAATAAATACAGTTATAATAACCCATTCAAGACTTGTTTGTTATTTATTTTTCTAAAAAAATGTTCTTTTCTTTAACATTAATTTAAAATATTGTTAGTTTAGTAAATATCTTTCCGTATATATATATATATATATATATATATATATATATATATATATATATATATATATATATATATATATATATATATATATATATGTAACATCCATAAAAATGCAAGCCAATTTAAACTTTTCAAAAACAACCCAGTTTCGTTAAGTTATTACAAAAAGGTTTTCAATACAATTATTATCAGAGTCTTCCTAGAACCATATCATAAACACTTAAAACATGAGGAGCGGTACGATCACGTCTTTGCCTTGCCACGGTCTCCTGAAGTACCTGGAACATTTAAACCACAACTGTAAGACCAAAAGCTTAGTGAGATACCGCCAAAATACCAACCACATATACCATACACATAACATGCCATATCATAACAGAACATAGAACAGCCATGCACTTCAGGTCCACTGTGTGACTGGTCTGCCGCACCGGGCCTTCAGTCCACCTGGTCCATCCTCCGAGTCTAGCCATATCCATCGAGTCTACAGTGTGGTTGGTCCGCCCGCACCGGGCCTTCAACCTACCTGGTCCACTGTCTGAGCCTACAGTATGACTGGTCCGCCCGCACCGGGCCTTCTGTCGACCTAGGCCACTCTTTGAGCCTCGACACATCTG